AGATGTTGAAGAGCACAGGGCTCGAGATGGGTCCCTGTGGAACCCCACTAGTGACAGGTCTCCAGTCTGATGTTACCCCGTTCACTATTACCCTCTGTGCTTGACCCATCAGCCAATTGCTCACCCACCACATGATGTGTTTATCCAGCTGTGGGCTGGACATTTTGTCCAGAAGGATCCTGTGAGAGACAGTATCAAAACTTTACTGAAATCCAAAAAGATGGTGTCCACTGGCTTCCCTGGATCAACTAGGTGGGTTGTCATAAAAGGAAATCAGGTTTGATAAGCAGGACTTTCCTCTCACGAAGCCGTGCTGGCTGTGACCAATGACTGCATTGTCCTTCAGGTGTTTTTAAATACCTCCCAGAATAATTTTCTCCATAACTTTACCAGGCACTGAAGTGAGACTGACAGGCCTGTAGTTTCCAGGGTCTTCCTTCTTGCCCTTCTTGAAAATAAGGACAATGTTTGCCAGCTTCCAGTCAGCTGGGACCTCTCTGGATTTGCAAGGCCACTCAAAAATCATCAAGAGAGCTTTTGCAATGATATCAGACAGCTCTTTGAGGATTCTTGGATGAATCCCATCATACCCCATAGTTTTGTAGGGATCCAGCTGGAGCAGCAGATCCCACACAATTTCATGGTTGACTGGGAGTTGATCGTTATTGCAGTCATGGTCCTGCAGCTCAGAGCACTGAGACTCCCTTGTTCTGTCATCTGTGTTGAAGATAGAGGTAAAGAAAGTGTTAAACACCTCTGCCTTGTCTCTGTCCCTGTTTGTGAGGTGACCATCCCCATCCTGTAACAGGCTGACGATATTTCTATACTGCCTCTTGCCCTTAATATATTTGAAAAAACTCCTTTGTTGTTCCCTACATTTTTCTGGCCAGCTTCAACTCCAGTTGAGCTTTGGCTGCACGATCTTTCTCCCTACAGTGACAAGCAGCATCTCCATATTCCTCTCATGTCACTTGACCTTGCTTCCACCGGGCATACGCCTTCCTTTTTTGCTTTATTTCCAAGAGAAGATCCCTGCTCAAGCCAAGCTGGCCTTCTGCCTCGCCTGCTTGACTTCTGACATTTGGGAATTGCCTGTTCCTGTGCCCTAAGGAGGTGATGTTTAAAAAGTGACCAGCACTGAGGGACCTAGCATCTGCAGAAACATTTTTCCAGGGGACCTTACTTACTAATTCCCTGAGTAGCCTGAATTATGTTCTCCTCATATCTGGAGTTGAGGTTTTGCTGGCACTTTCCCTCCTCTTGGCAGAGATTTTAAACTTGATCACTTTGTGGTCACTGTGGCCAAGGCAGCCACCAATTTCCACTTTGCTCAAGAGATCCCCTCTGTTGACAAGCAGCAGATCAAGGAGGGCACCTTTCCAAGTTGGCTCCCTTAGGACCTGTTCCATGAAGTTGTCATCTGAGTTTTCTAGGAATCTTCTGGCCCAGGTTGTACCAGCTCTGTGGTGGTCCCAGTTAATTCTGGCAAATTGAAGTCCCTCATAAGGACAAGGGCAGTTGACTAAGTGTCCCTTAGTTCCTCAAAGAATAATTGTAGGCATCATCATCCTGGCTGGGAAGTCTATAGCAGACTCCCATGACAACAGTTGTTTGCCTCTTGGTTCTCACCCAGAGTCTCTCAACTGTGCCACTGCCAACTGTGAGCTCCACACATTCTAAGCCTTCTATTACATATAGTGCCACCCCTCTACTTCTTGTGCCCTGCTTGTCCCTTCTGAAGAGCCTATAACCATCCAACAGGGCACTCCAGTCACAGGACTCATCCCACCAGGTTTCACTTATGCCAGTGATGTCAAATCTCTGGGACTGGGCCAAGGCTTGGAGCTCCTCTTGTTTGTTTCTCATGCTGCGGGAATTGGTGTAGAAACATTTCAGGTGTGGTACATTATAGTCAAAACCTCTTGAGGCAGACTGAGTGATCCCATTAGTGCTGGTTTTCTCGAGTTTTGGCATGCCATCCCATCCTCATCATTGGCAAGCCTGGTTTTGTACCTTCCCCCCTTCCAAGCTAGTTTAAAGCTCTGTCAGTGAGCCCTGCTAGCTCCTGTTCTAGAACTCTTTTCCCCTCTGAGATAGGTGCATCCTGTCAGGTGTCAGTAGGCCAGGTGTTGAGTAGATCATCCCATGGTCAAAACCCCAAAATTTTTCCCAATTACACCAACCTCGGAGCCACTCATTAATCTGGTGGATCTGCCTATTCCTATTGATCCTCTTCCTCATTACCAGAAGAACTAAGGAAATCACTACCTGTGCTCCTGATTCCTCTACCAATTGTCCCAGAGCCCTGAAGTCTTTTTTGATTGCCCTCAGACTTCTCTTTGTTATTTTGTCGCTGCCAGTTTGAACAACCAATAGTGAGTAGTAGTCCAAGGGCTTTACCAGACAGGAGATTTTTCAGTAATGTCCCTTATCTGAGCCCCGGGGAGACAGCAGACTTCCCTGTGAGTTGGGTGTAGTCTGCATGTTGGGCCCTCCATTCCCCTTAGAAGGGAATCTCCTAGTATAACTATCCTTCTTTTCCCCTTAGCAGAGGAGATCTTGATGTGGGGTACAGGTGGTGTTGTTTTAGGAGGCCCCACTATCCCAGAAGTACTTTTGCCCACCTACTCAGTTGTCTGGCCCTCTAGTTTCAGAGCCTCATACCTGTTGTAGAAGGTACCACTCATACCTGTCAAATTTTGAGAAGGAGGAATCTTCCTCCTGGTACCTGTAGTGACCCACTTCCAGTCTTCATCTTAAATAGACCGTTGAGCAACAGTCCTTTGACTAATTACCCTGCACGGTTCTGAGTCCACCTGCTTCTCCATTACAACAGAGGTTCAAGAATCTCAAAAGTCTTGAGACTGTAGCATCTCTGAAAATAATCAGTCCCTCTCTTGCTCATTTGCCTGAATACTCTGAAGCCCGTTCACTTCTTCCCGTAGCTTCTTCACTTGGTGGTGACACAGCTCCTCAACCATGGCACACCTAATCTATATTCTCCTTCTGCTGACTAGGCAGCAGTGATCTGCAGTTTGGGTTTTTGAACTGGAGAACTAAAGGTGGTGTGAATGCTGAGAAGGACTGTCCATTCAGTTAGACTGTTTTCCTTCCAACATGACTCTCCACCAGCTCCAGCAAATTCAGACCAGAATAAAACTAATGTCATTAAATCAGTCAGGCTCTGGCATTTCTTTGGCTGCTAGAATCCCAACATGAGATTTCTCCAGAAATGAAAGAGCAGTTCAGTTACAGGATTGGGGTCACATCTCCAAGCACAGAGCATGTGCACCAGGAATGGCAGTACAAGACGACAGCTGTCATATATTTTCTTTCACAACTCATGCCACCATTACACTAGCATCAACCCAGAGAATTAGAAACACACGGAGCCAATATCCTGGGGAACCACTCTTCCTCCTAGGGACTACATCCATCGCCTGGTCTCTTCAAGGAAGAGGCTCAAACTTCCTGCTTGTGGGGAGAAAGGTATTTGTCCAAATTACCTTTTTTATTCATGGGCCTTCCTTAACAGTAACTATAAGAAAAACAGATCCTGTGGGAGCAATGTAACTAATTCATGCGTGGATGTGCAAATGGGCAATTTGCAAACTAATTGCCCCTGCACAATACACTGTGCAGACAGGTTGTCCAAACACTGGCTCTGCGTACTTTTTGTAGTGGCGGCTGCCTGGTAAGAGGCGGTTGAAATGCTTTCTGGACAGACAATGGGCTTGCTCAAGTGTGCAACTATTTTGGAGGGAAGCTATCCCGCCCACCCTGGGTGGCGAAGGTTTGTTCTGCCTGCGTCCAGCTGCCGTGCTGTGCCAGGAAAATACAGGGGCCATGTGCGGGACAAAACAGTTTTGCCTTATTGCCTCTGCCGGCTCAGGAGGACGCAGAGACTATCAGCAGCATATGGGCCTCGGGGGATTTCAGCCATTTAACAAACATTATATGCTCCATAACAAAACAACAAAATATCAGTACTTAGATCAACCAAATAACTAAATTAAATTCCCTAGACGGTGAGGACTGGTATGCTAATTGGCTTGCCTTGTGGATTTTTCTATGCAGCTCCCCAAGAAACAGATTGGCCCATTTTTCAGGCAACTGATTGTTAATTGGAGAAATGAATAGCAGGCTGGAGGGGCTGATCACTTCACTTGGTAAATTCAAACTCCCGTTATTCATGAGAACAAGCCAGAGGTGACGTGGTTTTCATGGGAGGGGGGCAAACGGCTGGTGCCAGGTCAACTCCTTTCTTTCTTTCTCTTTACTCTAGGAACACAAGGGAAAATACAGCACCTGATTCCCCCATCCCTCTGGGATGCTGTGCTCTTCAAACAGCTGAACTGCCCTCAAGGAGGGCTCCCCCTGCTGACTGCAGAAGGTCAGTGGGTATGTTTATTGAGCAGACTTCTGCCAATCTCCTGCTCTGGCTCCATGGTCTCTAACACAAGCAACCTCTACTGGCTCTGGGAAAGTCTTCAGTTTTCCTATGCTTTGCTTCTCTGGTAGCTCTGATGGGCGAGACAGAAGGACTTGAGGGGCAGGAGCAGTCTGGTGCAGCCAGGTCAGCAGGACACAGCTCCAAGGCTTCTCCCTTTATTGTCCCAGCTCTTGCATTCTCATTAGGCCACGTAGCCACTGCTCCTTCCCCTTCCCAGTCACTGACCAGCAGTGGTTCTGGTCCTCACTATCTCAGCTTCCCAGATTAGTCAGAGGAACACAACTTCACAAGCAAAGGTGAAGCTTTGGGTCTTATCTGCTCTTTGATCCTGAAGACTCAGCCCTCAAGCCCACATAAGCAAGGATGAAGGCTGTTACCTTGTTTCTCACCCCACTTTCTCCAATGCCTGGCTTTGATTACAAATTTTGTGTAAATGCTGATTCCTCCCTGTTCTCGCAAATTTTGCTGTAAGCCAAGCTCTCATTATCTCTCCAGGGCTGAGTAGCCCTCTTCAGACCAGCTCTGTGGTTGCACACAGGACACTTGCCTACTCCTCTGGGCAAGCTTCCTTGCAACTGCTTTCTGCACTGAGACCCAACATACAGACTGCCTGGAAATTATGGACCAATTATTCACTAAAGACAATACTAAGAAAATTTCAGAAATAGGTCTCTTTAGGGCATTTCAACTACTGTTCTACAACTGATGAATTTTTCAGTTTGTTAGCTGAAACAAAAAATAGCTTTTGTAAATTCAGAGATATGCGACCAAAATATTTTAACCTGTTAAAACATCACCTTTCCAGTCACATTTTTGTACAATGAAGAAACAGGTGCTAGTAACTCTTCAGGCCATATTTAATTTTATAAGTGGACATCTTGAGTTATACCATAGCAGGGGCTTGGCAGCCAGCTGTATTTCCCTATTTCCATTTCTACAGATATCAAGCAAAAGAATATTATCAGTATTAAGAAAAGACAGACACTGAAAGTTTTCTGTTCTTTGTAATAACTTTAAATTGCTTCTGAGATGCTTTATATCATAGTCATTGAAAATATCATAAGACTCACACAGAAAATTCATCATGAAGATAAACAGTGTGGAAACAAGTAATCATGTGAAGAGGCAAATTGTTGCCGAAATCGCACAACTACTGTCTGTAGTCACAGTCTAACTAGCAGCTGAATATTAAGAGCATCTTTCAGGGGTGGATACTATCTAGATCGTCCTAACGACCTAAAGACAGGATGCAATGTACCCTGGCTCAAGCTGGAGGGCAGTGCTGCTTTCCAGAGGGGCCTGGACAGGCTGAGGAGGTGGGCTGACAGGGTCTAGCAAAGGCACATGGTAAGTCCTGCCCCAGGACAGCTCCATGGAAAAGGCCCTGGGGGCCAAACTGACTAGGATCAGCAGCATCCTCTTGCAGGAAAGAAGGCCAACCATGCCCTGGGCTGAGTTAGCAAAAGGAGAGTCAGCAGGAGAGGGAACAGTCCCTACCTCTCCATTCAACACTTTTTTGTTCAACTTGGAGACAGAGAGGCAAAAAGGAGAACTTATTGCTATCTGCAGCTACCTGAAGAAGAGAAGATGGAGACTGGCTTTTTCCAGAGATCCCAGTGACAGCACGAGAAGTGGTAGACACAAATTGGAACGCAGTAACTTCCTATTAGGTATCATGCAACACGTTTAACCTTCAGTCCTGGGACAGGGCCCCAGGAGCCTCCATCCTTCGAGATACTAAACACTCAGCTGGACAATCAAACTTCAAATTTGGCCCTGGTTTGAGCATGGGAACCTCAAGAGGTCAGTTTGAAGCTAATTCATCCTAGGTTTCAAATACCATGCTCAAAAAGGTTTTTTTAAATCAGAGCATTTTTACCAAAAGCTGGTTTTTTGAACCTTAATGTCATACATCAGACAGTAATACCTTTTAAAAGCCCTATAAAAAAGGCTGGGATCAATCTTCTACAGAGGAAGCAGAATGATAACGTGAGAAATTACTTTCTTCTCCCTCAGAATATTCACAATTGATTCCAAGATTATGGCAAAAGCCTGTTAAAGGCATGGGCTGTCTATTCCACCAGACAAACCTCTGCCACTTGACAACCACTTTACCAAACAAAAAATATACATATTTGAATAAACATTCTGCCCACAAACCTACTGGTAAAATATGTATTTTTGACTGCCTGGAAATGCATCCCTAACATGACACACAAGGAACAATTTCTGAAATTGTGAACAGTTAAAAACGGTAGCAATTTGTTTTCACTTTACTTATCCTCCCCACCTATTTTTTTCTCCAAAACGAGCTTCTTGGAAGAATTACGGATAATATTCAACACAGTGCTATGTGACAGCCCACAGATGGATACACTTCTAATGAATTTGGAGAAGTTAACAACACAATGATAGCAGACATGAAAAAAAATCTGGCGAATTCTCCTTAATTAGATTACGCTCTACACACCCTTCTATACGAATGAGGACACAGCAGTGGAAACCACCCGACAGCATTGTTAATGCAACTGAGGGGGTCTGTAGCAGGGGACATCTGTTTTAAAGCTTTGATCCAAATCTGCCCCTAGAGGCAAATCAACTAGGCTTTGGACGTCAGTTTAAAACATTAAAAGCAAAACTCTTACTTGCTGGAAGCAGGTGCAGTTCCATTAAACTCACCACATTTCACCGGCATCCGGGATTTCAAATAGTTCCAACAGTCTGCAAGTGGGGCAAAAGTGCAAGGAGAAATAAAACCTCTCATTATAGAACACTCAAACATCAGCAAGGTGTAGTAATGCTCTTTCTCAGCCAGAAAGGTCTCAATAAAGTGACCAAAGTGCAAAGCACGCTCAGCCCCTACTCACTGCCCTACAAATCAAGGGCTTGCAAATTTTGCTGTTTTCTCCCCCATGCTTAATTTTCTTGCATACAGACATGCTGGTGGATATATCCCCCTGAAGAAGAGTAACAAAAACAATTTTACTTCTTTTTTCTGAAAGCAGAAACAATTCATGTTTTATTCCAATAATCCATGGTACATGCCAAATATGGAAGAGGCAGAGGGGGAAAGTCTGGCAGTGATCCTCCCATACATCATTTCAGACAACAGGCACACACCTCAGTATAAATAAATAACTGCTAAGCCATCCCCATTCATGTTTCTAATTAGTGTAATCTATTTAACAAACAGACACATAATATAGGTCAATTATGTAGGTCATGATAAATTTGTGAAGAACTTCAGCCTGTAGGGCACCAAAAAGACCACGCTGAGGCAGCATTTCCAAAGTTACAGTTAATTTCTGCACGAGGCTTGTGAGCAGCAGTGAGGAACCAGCAGAGACCTGCTCAGTTTTTCTGGTTTGTCCAGCCACTAAGAAAAACACCAGTGACACCCCCTGGGAGACATCCTCTATGATACAAGCACAGAACTGCCCCTCCAAAATTACTGAACTCAGTTACTACTGGCCAAAATAGCCAGAAACATAAATGTCAAAGGTGTTTAATTTCTATGAGTTTGTCAAAAACTGGTGAGTATCCAGAGGGGAGATGGAGAAATATTTTATTTATGCTTCCTCCATAGGAAAGGAAATGACAGCTCAGTATCACCCTAGTATGCTTGACCATGGCCCTCTGCACTAGGCACAGATGCAGCTCTAGAGAAGCCACAGTACATGCCAAGTCCTGCCTTGCTAGAAATTTTGGGAAGGAATGATGAAGAACCACAGTGGAGGGCATCAGAGAGCAGCAGGTGCCATGTGGGGTTTCAGAAAAGGGGCAGGACTGCAGATCTAGCTATCCTGCTCAGGGATATGGAGAGGATCTGGAGATCACCACAGCAAACACTACAGGAGCGTGATTTGCAACAAGGAAACAAATTTAATGTTCAGGGTTCAATGACCATCACACTTTTCTGCTAAAGGTCAGCACTAATATAATTTGGTCTTTGAGACAAAGGGAGCAAATGGATCTTGGATGGAAATTTAAGCTATAATTGCTGTTACTTTTCCTTAGTATTTCCAAATATTTTTCTTCTTCAGACAATCCCAACTCAGTCTGCCGTGGAACAGGACTTCTGGCTTCCTATTCTGCTGTTAGCAGAGGAACTCCAGAATCGTCCAATGAAATATCTCAGGGAGTTACCTGAGGTGCTCTTTGTACCTTAAACATGCAGCATTATCAACAGCATTACTAGTTAAGTGGCTGGGGAGCGCTTGGGACCCAGGACACAGCCGGGAACTGAAACGCAGAGCAGCAGCAGCTGGAAGGCTGGTGTGTGAGCACCTGTGAGCCAGCTTCAGTGGCACCAGCCACAAGCTGGGAACAGATTCCTCACCCCTCTGAATTTCACAAACTTGCGCTGCTGCCTGGAAGAACCAGTCCCCAGGCAGGGCAGGGGTAGGAGCACCAAGGCAAATACGCCCTGCATAAGGAGCTTTAATTAACTGTGCAGCTCTCAGAGGGCAGGTTTTCCACACTGCACATGTGCAGTCGGGTCCACATACAGCAGCCCAAACTCTACTGCTGGGTACATGTCAGCTGATTGAACACCCACGTGCCTCTGAGGATGGGAGGAGATGGACCAGTCAGTGTCATTTAGCATATGTTACTACCTGGCCTGCACAAAACAACATGCCGATTACGTGCAGTTTGTGGGCACACTGTGCCAAAAATAATGACCTTGTACTTCTATCTACAACATAATCTTGTTACTGTTCATAATAGTCATGACTGAATTGGTGAAATAGCCTTTTAGTTATACAGATTCTCCTATTTGTGCAATTTGTATTTGATGCCTGTTTATTAATTCTCATTCATATATCCAACACAATTGTTCTTATAACACTGGAGTGACAGAGATAATTTCCCAAATGGTTCCCAAACTGGTTTCCAATGACCTGCATTCTAGCTCATGTATGATATATATAGTACACCAAGGTATGAATCTAAATGTGCACATATAAATAATATGTATAACAGATAGACATCATAATTGAAAATTTGTTACAAATCTCAGACCATATGGCTTAATTCTAAGAATGAACACAGTACTGCGTGTGACAAAGTCTCAGAAACAAATCTAAAACTTTTTAAACCACCTACAGTCCATCCCAGGTCCCCAGCTGGAGAACTGTTCCCATGAACACGAAAAAGGAAAAAAAAAAAACCAACCCAGCATTACATTCCCATTTCTTTGTAATCTCTAGTCCTAACTGCAGGACTGTTTATGAACATATATGCAAGATATTTCAACTGAGAGAAATAAATACTGTACTATTTTGCCCTGACCCTGGGGAAATGCTGTTCTTGACAATATACTGCTCTCTGCTGGCCTGACCTGCTTTTCCACAAGGGCCTCACTTCCTGACATCTTCCGTCTTCCCTAGTGAAAAGGGAAAAGACCACCTTGTTTTGCTGACTTAGCAATCGGTGGCAGAAGCATCTTTAATTTGGGCTTGAAAAACATTACATTGCTAAGGAAAACAATACTGACATCACCTAAATCTTTTGCCTTGAAGAAAAAATGCAAGTAGTCCTTTAACCCCAGTAACCCTTCAGAAGTATTCCTATTTTCTTGCAACCTGAAAGAAGAAACAGGTTATTCATGTAGCAGGCCCTCCCTAGTAAGGAGCTCAGACAAGCTTGAGCTTGTGACAAGTCTATTTCTAAATGTAACCAACTCAAGTCCTGTTCTGAGTTTCCGGAAACTTGCTCCTAGGTGGGAGTTTTCACAGCAGCCCAAAATCCCAGTGACAACCACAGGATTTGAGATGGGGCTCCCTGGTCTTTACAGGACAGCTCCAGACCTGAGTAGCTCCATGGCCCAAAACCTGTAGTATCTTTACTCCCTATTCCCATTTTTCTGTTGTTTTATCAAAAAGGGATCACTCAGATCAAAGCTAACTGGAAACCAGCTTATTTGCATTGATTGTACCTTCACACTGACACTAGTTATTACTGAGCTACAGCTGGCACAGCAACACCTATAAAAACCATAAAATTTTAATCTGTCAGCATCTCATATTTTGGGTCAGAACAAGGTGATGCCATGCTGCAGATCCACCAAGACTAGAAACCCAGCTTCGAGGGTCATCCTCCCCTCAGCCCCAGGGATAAAGGGTATTTACCCAGCAGTCAGGCTGTATCTTTCCAGAGGTTCTCCTGTCTATCTTCTCCTTGTTGGGTTTGCAGCTCTTGAGATGCTGTGACCGACAGGAATGCTGCCACATTTTGGGACTATCGCCATAGTCCCAGCGGTGTGATTTTGGGGTTATCACCTACAGGAATTACCAGAGCATTCTCAGCTGTTTGGTTTTTTCCTCAAACTGCTGGCAAACAGGTTTTTGTGGTAAAACCACACTGTCAGGGTCTTGCTTACAAACCATGATAGAAACTAAACACACAGTCTGTTGCAATCACAATGTAGAGGAGATGCAAATCTTAAAAAACTTTAATTCTTTACATCTTAATCTTTCTTTGCAAGATTCTCCCATTAACAGCACGATTCCTTTAAAAAATAATTATACAACATTAAAACAAGTTAGAAAAATAGTAGGAAAGATCAGTTTCATTTACCTGGGTAAAACAGGGAGTTTGTTTTGAACAGTAACCATCATTTGAAATTCCTCAATTCTTGCTACTCACAGGGCTGGGAAAAAAAACCCACAAAATTCATTTACTTTCCAAACACTGCTATGAGGGAGTCATTTGCTGGAATAAATAACACCCTGGGAGACTCTGCACTTATTTCCCCAGCGGGGTCTTTCATCACAGACACCTGCACACACATGGAGCTGCGGGGGCAATGGTGGGACTTGCTGGGAGGGTGTGAGCCTCTTGCACACAACCAAGAGCATCATGGCTTAGATTTCTGCTCTGCATCTGATTTCCAAATCAGTCTCCATCTCTTCATGCCTTGCATTTGCTGTAGTGCTCTCACACATAGAATCATTAAGGTTGGAAAAGACCTACAAGATCATCAAGTCCAACCTTTGACTGAATACCACCATGACCACTAAACCATATCACGAAGGGCCAGGTCTGCTCATTTTTTGAATACTTCCAGAGATGGTTACTTCACCACTTCCCTGGAAGAGCTTTTCCAATGATTTATCACTCCTTCAGTGAAGACACTTTTCCTAATCCAAGCTGAACCTCACCTGGTGCCACTTGAGGCCATTTCCCCTTGTCCTATCATCTGTTCCAGACATGCCTATCTTGTATTGGCCTTTTTAGCCACCAACGCGCTTGCAACAAACGTGGGTAGAGCCCTTCCCAAATCTTCATTCACGAAGCCTAGCCATGATGATGATGATGATGATGACCTGTTGCCTGGGATAAGAGGCCAAACCACACCTCACCACAACCACCTTTCATGTAGTTGTAGGGTCTCACTCACAAACTGCCTCTACACACTCTTCCAGATGGGGCTGGAGCAGAAAGCTGCTGCTGCAGGAATAATTTTAGCTGGTGAAAGACAAAATTATCTAGATGGCAGAAGAGCCATTAAGGAAGTTACTCAAGCATAAAAACTGTTAAAGGAACACGACGTATGGGGAAAGGCGTGGAGCCTCCTTTGCTCACATCTACCCACACTTCCCACATCAGAGCTGGACCAAACTTGTAGGTCAAGAGCTCCTGGCAGGCTCTCACCAGGGCCCAGAGGGTGCCTGGCAGCCCTGCCAGCCATCTCCTGGTGGCATTATCCCTGGGCCATGGGGCCTCTCCTGCTGCTCACACAAGCCCTGCCCTGCCCCACCTCCCCTCAGCCTGGGGCCTGCTCCTCTTGTCCACAAAAACTGGATTCCTTACCCAGTGTGCAACAAACCAATAATCAGAGAGACCAAACTCAACCAAACTCAAGAGAGACACTGCTTATTTATCTCATAGCTGTGCAAGTTTGGATGCTCGATGGTATTCCACAAATCAAGGACACCCTTCCAGACTTTCCACGCCATTCTTTATACACAGAAATTTAGTGTTAGTAGCCTCTCAAGTACAGCTCCTCTATTAGTATTGATTAGTAATTATCATACAAATTATGTAATCCCATCTAACTTCTACACATGCTCAGGGGAAGGGTCTTTGCTGGGGGAGGACCTTTCTCACCTGTAGGCATGACTTTTAGTACTATAATGAAGATAGTTCAGCTATAGGATACATGGACCTCGAGTCTTTTGCCGAGTTGACAATATATACATCAACATCTTCATTTACTTGTTAGCTCCAGGGTGTCCTTGACTGAGGGATGCTAACTACCACCTGTTCTACTGACATACAACAGCTTCTTGATTTACATCATGCTTTAGAGCTCGTGTCTGGATGTTTATCATCCTTAGAGCCTGTTTGTTGCTGTCTGTTCCACTGATTAAGTCTCATTCCTTGCTAATACACAAAGCTCGAACATCAAATAACACCCTGACTTACGGTAATTTTGAAATATTCCACATTTTTCAGCACTGTTCCTCATACCGTTCTGATTTTGCGGCCTTTGCTCCTCCTTTAACCACATTTTCCGGGAGCACCCATCCCTGGGGGTCCCCCCCCGCTGCGAAACCGGCCCCCCCTCACGGAGCGCGGGGCCCACCCCGCGTCTGCGCGCTGGGAGCGGGGCCGCCCGCAGGCCGGGCAGTGGCGGCGCCATGGCGGGGCCGGCGGGGGCGGCGTGAGCGGGTGCGTGAGGGAGTGAGGGAGGGAGGGAATGAGGGAGGGAGGGAGAGAGAGAGCGAGGGAGGCGGGAGGTGTGTGAGCGGGGGGCGCCCCGCGGGCACCGCGGGCCCGGGCGCACCGCGGGCCGCGCCCTCCCGATCCTCGGCGGCGCAGGCGGGAAGATTTTCCCTTGCAGAAAATCTCGGCGTCCCCTGACAAAGGCAGGGAAAAGACAATCCCAGTTCTCTTCAGGCAGACGGCGGTAGGGTGGTAGTGCTTCCAGACTGTTGCGCCTTCAGGCCTCCCCTTCATCCTTCCAGTCTCCCCTTTCCTGCGGTGCGGATTGTGTGTCCTCGAAGACACAAAACCCCTGCGGCATTCCTCCTCCCTGTGACATTTAGCTCTCGTGTAGCTGCAGTTGAGGCCTTTCTGGCAGCAGAAGGATTGGAGTGATCATCCCCTAGACGTGCAGCGATTGCCACCTGCATGTAGAAGCCAGAAAGATTTTGTTGTTGGTTTTGTTTTGTTTTTTTTGCAATGCCATCTTCCTGATTTCTGTGTCATGACAGCCTACAGTTCCCCTTCCCTCACACTGATCTGTTCTTCATGTGTATTTGTGCCTGTGGTTTAGCTTTTCTCCATTTTTATGAAATTTTGTCTTACCCACTTTTGGCAATATGCTTGTAATCACCTTGATTTTAAATTCCTCCCCTTCACATCTTCTGTACGCCTCCTGAATTCATATCACCAACAGATTACACGTGTGTTAAAACCTTGTTTAACTCAACTTTCGTTGTTTGGTTTGTTCTCTCTTCATTACTCCTTAACAAAAAAAGGAAAAATAATATGTAGTTTTGCTCCCCATAATCACTGACTGTTTTTTAATCATCTGGATGGTGTCATGTGAGTGCTTGTAGATTTTTTGCATTGTGCTTTGCTGTGGTTTCTTTCCTGGTATTGGACATGGGAGAGAGGAACACTCAACTCCCTCTTGCCTTATAAAAAATTGTCCTTGTCCAGTCTTCTGAGATCTGTTTCACCATCCAGGAACTAACAAAGATAAGTGCCAGTGGAGCTGTGGGATCTTCGTCCTCAGATTTCTTCAAGATGAGTTGGATAACATGGAGGAGCCCTATAGCTGCCCATTCTGTGAGCAGGAGATTGGATGAGAGACCTTGAGGTCCCTTCCCACCTCAGTTACTGTATTTAGTTTCTCTGAACTCTCCTTTCTCTACCTCTAAGGCCTCTGTAGCAATGGGGGAAAGGAAGATTTATGCTGCTCCATGCCTCAAAGTTAACTGTAGATCTCAATGACATGCTGAAGGAGGATGTGTTCCTTTGGAACAATTGGGAGTGTTCAATGTTGTAGGCATCATACTCTTAGATCTGTTAATCGGGTTTAGAAAATAAAACAGACTTTTTCTCTTCTGTTGGATGTAGGAGTGATGTGGGAACCACCTGTTCTCTGTGATAAAGGGAAGACACAAAACATCTGATAGATGGAAGCCATGAAGATGTCAAAGCGGTTCTTTGCTTTTGGGATTTTGGCATGCATAGCTATTTATGTTGCATACATAAAATGGCACTTGGATTCCAAACCGCTCATGGGAGCAACAGAAGGAATTGCTGAAAGCAGGGGAGATAAACTGAACCATCAGGCAGTGACCACAGATCTCCCGGTCTTTTATGGAATTATGTTTGATGCAGGAAGCACAGGAACTCGCATCCATATATTTAAGTTTACACAGCAGCCAAGAGGTATGTACTGCTCATTGCATGATAGATTAAGTCTTCCATAACCTTATGGAGCAGATTATTGATGACTCTTTTGTAGAGATTACTTGAACAAACATGCTTCAGCTCTTTCTAGAGAGTCATCTATGTTATGATTCAGGCATATATGCTTGGGTGAAATTATGAAACATTCAACAAGAAGAAAATGCTGTAATGTCAGAATGTGAACTAAATAGCACCTGTACTTTTAGAGTGGTGGCTTGAAGAAGGGCAATTTTTCATCACACTGGTGGAAGAGAAGATTATAAATTCAAACTGCCTTATTTTTCCAAATTTTCACCATGAGGTTGTTGGCTGTCTCCAGTTCCTGCTAGTGAGCTGCTTCTCTCTGCAGTGTCTGGTTTAGTGCATCCTTGGCTTGAGTGTTGGATTTAAACTGTGAAACAAAACAAAAATTGCAAATTGTTCGATTAAAATTGCTGTGTATTACATCTGGACAGAAACTACTCAGAAGTGAGACAGAAGTGTACAAAAAAATCTCCAGTTTTCCTCTGGAGTACTAAGCTTCATTTGTTTACGTGTCGTCAGCTCCTATTTGTAAAAGTCCTAAAGATCAAAAAACTTGTGTGAGTGCTGTTAGTAAGTGACCTGAAGGTTTTCAGGGTTAGCAGTGTGGTGTATGGTGTGATTGACCTCTGGGGAGCAAGGTAGGTTTGCATGATGGGCTGTTGTAAGGCTTAGCCAACAAAGGTGTTAAACAACAGTCCACTGATTTCCTTTTAGTGTATTCTCAAGTCTTCGCTGCTTCCTTGTCTGCTTTTCTTTAAACATAATTTCAGAATGTATTGCAGCAAACTTTATAGAGTGTAGTTGGCTACAGGAGGACTATGACAATGTGTCAGGCACGTGTTGTCTTGATTTCAAGTGCATGTAGGGCTGCAAGTTTGCAATATGTTTAAGTCTGGCTCCCTCTGCTGTTGTTGAAAAAAAATGTAAAAGCTTCCACTCGTGTTTGCTGGAACCAAGTTTAGTCAGAACAGAGCATGCTGAAATTTGGAGCCTTTGTTACAGGTGCAGTTTGAAAAGCTGCACATGATGGGTGTAAGGCCTCAAAGACAACTTGAACCCATTGTCTGATATGCGTAAAGAATATAGTGGACACCAGCACCTGAAAACCAGTCATGACTTTAAAAATGGTTTTCTCAGGATCTAATTCCATAGCAAGGGCTGTATTTAGAGGTCAGGTGGCTGTTGATAGTTCATTAGACAGAGGCTTCAACTGACTTCCATTAGCACATAGTAATGTAATTTGTTAAATGATTTTCTTTTTGTGTATGTGAAATTATTTGTACCGTTACTTATTTTGGAATACTGCTTTTGAACAGAAACTCCCAAATTAACCCATGAGACGTTTAAAGCACTGAAACCAGGTCTATCTGCATATGCTGATGATGTCGAAAAGGTAATTTAAGTGATTTCTCTTCTGTCTCCCTTACCTTCAAGCTCACAGGAATTTAGGCACTCCCTGAGCCAGACTTACACCCAGCTTGTAGCGTTTTACTGGCTGCAAAAGCCTTTGTTTTCCAAGAATTGGTCATACTGCCTTTTGAGCCCTCTGTAGCCAAAACATTCAGTGACAGAGAGTTCTATGTCACTGTTGGAAAAAGGGACTCTTTCAGGTTTGACCTGTAGCTTGATAATATCTGTTATATCCACTAAGACTTAACGCTGTAGGAGACAGTGAGTCCTACACCTTCTCCTGGCCCCTTGTGCTTTTAATTTGTGTCTGTTTCACATCTACAGTGAATTGAGTCTCTGATCACCCTTTTGCCCTTTCAAAAGAGTTTTTAAGATGCCTTTTCTTGTTCTTTTTTTGCTCACAGAGTGCCCAGGGCATAGAAGAGCTCCTGGAGGTGGCAAAGAAGGAAGTTCCTATGGAGCTGTGGAAGTTCACTCCTCTGGTCCTGAAAGCCACAGCTGGCCTACGGTTGCTGCCAGGAGAGAAAGCTCAAAAGTTGCTGGATAAGGTACTATTTCTTGGTTTTCCGTTTGCTTGCCAGAAATTTTATAGCAAACTCTGATCAGTTCTGTGTAATGTGCATATTTTTTTGTGCACATGAGTCAGTTCCCATTGTTTAACCCTGAAAACAGTGCAGAGCCACCTGATCTCAAATGCACTTGGGGGAGAAGTTGTGTGAGTTGCAAGCACAGAGGAATGATGGCAGCTCCAAGTAAACCAGGAGATGACAGATAACGTAACAAATGCCGTGACATCCTGCTAACAGTAACTACAGACCTGTTCTTACTGGTCATGTTTAGGGGTGGGTTTGACAGGGATGGTGCTGTTTTGAGAAAAGCTCTCTACTGTTTGATTGGCCACATTGTCAACCTGCTGCTGCAAGGTCGCTCCTTTATATTGATTGAAAACAATGTAAATTGTATTTTTAGGCATGTAAAATACATTTAACATTTTAAAATATTACAAAAATAAACAAAACGTGTTCTAGACCTTTGAGCTGCAGGAAAATTTTATTAACTGTGCACTGAGTGTACTCTTTTTCTAAGCAATAATTGGAAGGAAGAAATGGGGGGTGGTTGAAATCAAAGTCTCTGCTGCCTGCAGCCTGGCCAATACTTTTCCACACTGAATTTCAGCTGAAACTTTAGAGGACCCTGCAAAGCTAGAGCTCTGCTGCCTCATGTAGGAAAGGGTATAGAGGATCATTATCAGCCAATATGCTCTTGTTGGAAATGCAGTTCCCTGAGACATTCCTGAAAGCTAGGCTGTCCATCTCCTGCCTTTTACATGCATGTATAGTACCCTGTGGGTCACCAGTTGCAGCAAAGTAAACTGGAGTCCCTTTCCTACCCATTGTATTCCTTGCTAATGGCACTTTTGAGCAGCCTTCATCCTTGAAAACCCACACATCCATATCCTGTCTCTGCACCAAACTGCAGAGCCCACATGTAAAGATGATGCTTGTTGGCCTCTTGAACTTCAAACAAAGTCATGAGCAGCAGTCAGGAGGATTTAGCCCAAGAAGAGGAGCAGTAGTGTAAAACTGGAATTTTAAAAAACTTGGTTTCCAGCTGAAAAAATATTTCTCTGAATGTAGCTTTTATTTGAACTACAGGTGAAGGAGATTTTTCAGGCCTCTCCCTTCTTTGTGAGGGACGACTGCGTGTCAATAATGAATGGAACCGATGAAGGTGGGTTGTCTTGTGGAGACTCCTTCTGCAGTCGTGGAGATTCCTGCTGCACTGTGACAAGTCCTCTACTCACTGTAATGGGAACCCACAAGCAGGGGGTTTGACAGAGTTTTTATGCTACCACAGGCAGCGCCTGCCAAAGAGATCTTGTGCTACGTTTTCCAATTTGAAGTCCTGAACTCTGTCCTGATCTTGAAAGCTCTGAGTGTTGGGCAGTTCCTGTAGAATCACCAGGAAGGCACTGTGCAGTCAGCATTTCTAGAAAAGTTTCTGTATATCTGCTTGTTGAGATGGTCTTCAACAACTAGGTTTGCACACTGTGCTCTTGACAGTGCTTATCAGAGCTTTCTGGAAGTATTTGGTCATAATGTTAATTATAACTGATCTAATGAGTGGAACTGTGAGTTCAGTCTGATAAAAGTATATAGAGAAGAAAACATGCTGAAGTAAGTCGATGTTCATCAAAAAATGCTGAGGACAGAACATCTAAATTCTAAGTAAGTGAGTGTTGAAATGTGTTTTAATTCTGCTTAGAAACCAAACTTTAAAATAGGTGAAGCTGTTTATGAGTTTCTTTTTTTGCTACTTAATGGAAAAAAGACATTGTAATTCTTCTTTTTGTTTTGTTTTAAAATCATTAATAACGGTGACAGCCTTGGTTCAGCCAAGGGTTGAAATGGACCATGCTCCCTAGAATGCTTTGAGTTTTAACCACATGAATAAATATTTGAATTTGTTAACATAAGGCCCACTAATTCACCTAATTTATGGAGAACGGTTTATAAAACAAAAAGAGGACAGAAACAGCATAGCTCACAAAATTGCTTAGAGGAAAACAGGAAAAATTAGAACACTGAAAGATAAAAATTCTTAGTATTCAAAAGGAAAGTTGAGTGCCTGATATCAAACAAAATTCTACAAGTGGATGTTTTCCTAGAAGACAAGCAATGTGAGTCTCAGTCATCTTGTTGTCTTTTAACTAAGGACTGAAGCCTTTGTAATTTATTGCCTAACTTTTTGGCCTGTGAAATACAGAGTTCTACAGGCATTTCATACATGGGGCTTCTCTCCCAAATATCACATAAACTCTGATAGAGAAGGTAATTCTCTTTGTTCGAGGCATCTTACCTTGGTTTTGGACAGCCATTGACAGTTCTGGAAATGTAATTTACTTGTTACTGCTGTGAGTTAAAATGAAATGCTACGATTTAACAGTGCATCTTCTGAATCTTTTCCTCATTAGGTATTTCAGCCTGGATCACAATAAACTTTTTAACAGGTATGTGTACATGAGCATGTGCATAAAGATACGATGTGATGCTGTGAAAGTCATGCTGTTCTCTGCCCCTGCGTGGGATTTGCTCATTCATTGGGATGGAATGGGAGAAAGAAGAATCTGAGAATAAGTCAGCAGTTATTTTTGGCCTGGCCTATTTAAGTCATTAGGATTTTGGCCTTTTACTTGACAGAGTGAGGAGTTTAATCTTTTTCCCTAGATGTTTAATGTAACTTTTCTCTCAATTCCCTGTAGGGTACCAGGGCATTTTATTCCTTTCTGAGTCTGCTGTGACTCTGGCTACATTTTTAATGTGAACTTTCTAGATGTGCTTGGCAGCTGCACAGAGTAAAAGAAAATGCTATGCTACTTCCTTACAGATTTATAATGTAGAAATGCCACAAGTGTTTACACTGCTGGATGAGAAAAGGATAGCTGAAGAGTAGAGAAAAAACTAAGCTAAAGACCTCTCTGACAATATGTAATGCAGTCTGCCATCCAAGTGCTCTGTTCAGCACACACAGTGTGTGGAGCAATGTGCTCTGAAGCCTTTTATGCCCACAGGAAATATCAGAAAGATTAGTGATCTTCAAACATCAGCTATCATAAGGCATGCTGAGGTACTTGGCACAAACTGTCCCTGTCAAGAAGGTGCATTTGAGGGATCTAACTGAGAAGAACTAGAATTAAATGAGAGGAGAGGTCTTGGCTGGCAGCAGGAAGAATTCCAAGAGAGCTGAGTCTATTAGGCCAGCTCTTTTCAGTATGTCATCCTTTTGGCCATAGGAAACTGCAAAATGCTGCTAAGGGATCAGGGAGAGGTGGCCAAGAAAACCACATTCCTCTGTGTTACAAAGTGGTTACCAGAGTAGAGTTTGTAAAACGGTCCTTGCGTCCACTGAAAAATGTTTAGGAATGCAGTAACCAAAGCTGCTGTAATTAGGACACGAACAGCCACCAGAGAAATAAGAGAAACTCTTGTCACTTTAAGATTTTCAGGTCTGATAAAGCCAAAATCAGTGCCCAGTAGGTAACAGTATAATTTAGTGCTGTCTGTAAGCTGACAGATGGAGTTAGATTATTCCCTTTCTTTACCACTGTACTTCTAGTTTTGTTCCTACCCAGTTTCTCACAATGCCCACCTTGGATTTCTCTGTTCTGTCACACATTTCAGGTAGGCTAGATGATCCCCAGAAGAGAAGTGTAGGGATGCTGGATTTGGGTGGTGGATCAACACAGATCACCTTCCTTCCACGTGCTGAGGTAATGTGAACATGCACACTTGTTGGGAAATGCTGGTGCAGAAATCAGTAACTGCTTGGATTTCTTTCCCTTGGAAACAGAGCAAGAGTTTGTTAGTGTGACATGAAGCCACACTTGTGACAGAAAAACCCAAATCACTTGTCACATCTGCCTTGTTATAGTCAGTCACAGAGGCATTCACAACTCTTTGTCCATCCTCATAGTCCCGCTCTGGATTGGTGGTGCATGTGGCGAGTCTGCCAGGGCTGCTTTATCTTGAAAATACCACGTTCACCTGAGTGTCTTAATCCTTGACTCTCAGTTTGTGCAGCTTATAATGAAGAACTCAAAATGCAGTGCTGTTAATGAATTCAAGTCCAACATTTGGCCTACAGTGGGTTTTAGGAACACAGTAAGATGCCGCCTTGATCCTGGTTTTCGATTTTCCTGAGTTCACTCAGTTGCAAATGAATGCTTTCTAAGGAGCAACTGCTGTTCTGCAGTAAAAAATATACTCTGATGTCATTTGAGCTTCCTGGTGTGGCATTTTTGTAGATGTTCTGTGAGCTGGAAGCCCTGTGAATGTAGAGTTGTAAGGCCATGGCCTGAGCAGAGAGAGCATTCCTAGTAAAGCTGCACAAAAGCAGAGGGATGGGATGCTGTGTCCAGCCTGGGATAATCAAGACATGCATTGTTACAGCAGAATGACAAGGGATGTGAAGGGTCTGGGATGTGGAAATTCTGGACATAGAGATTGTGTTAAGATATGAGCAGCATGAACAGCATTGTGGCCTGAGCTTTGCTCCCCACAAATGTGCTAGTGCCAGTGCACTTGGGGAACATGTTGCAAAATGTGTTAGGTAATTATCCTTTCATTTTTTCAGACTACAGACTGGTCCTCACTCTGTTCCTTGGCAAGCACAGCGATGTGCTTTTCCTCTGGCTTGTGCAAGTTCACAGATTAATTCCACTCAAGTAGGAAGTTAATGTGTACCTGGCTTTTGTATTAGTTTGCTCACAGTTTTCTGTAGTAGGGATCATGTGAAGAGGCAGTTGATGTAACCTCTTGACAAAAGTAGTTAAGAGCTGGAATAAGGATTCCTTTTAATGGAATTCTTTTATACAGCATTTTGGTGTGGATACAAATAGAAATGTAACCAGTGTAGACCCTGTCATGTGAAGACACTACCAGATCCAGGTTTTGTGGTTGTCTTGCATATCAGCGGTCAATTTGAAATACTGGCGAATTCATAATTTCTCTCTAAATCCTGCTAGGATTGTTTCACGTTTTTCCTAACTTTTGGAAGATTACTTTGTTGATGTTTGCTGCTGGCTGGCAGAAACCTGTCAGTGACGTCTTTTTCTCCCTTCAGGAAACTCTCCAGACATCACCAGCTGGCCACACAACTTCATTTCAGATGTTTAATCACACCTACAAGCTGTATTCCTACAGGTTAGTTGTGGGAAGGAGAGCACACTGTAAAAATCAAAGCTTTCTGTGAAGCCAATGAGATGTAGGTGTTTTTCTGAACTGGAGTCCTTGCCAATGAGTACTGGGAAGAAGTGGAGACGCTTGAGCCACATGATTGTGGTAGATTAACCTTGGCTGCCCACCATGTGCCCACCAAGCCACTCTATCACTCCCATTCCATTAATAGGACAGAGGGAAGAAAATATGACAAAAACCTCATGGGTCAAGATAAGTACAGGGAGGTCACTTATCAATTGCTGTTATGGGCAAAAGAGACTTGACTTAGAGAAATTAATTTAATTTATTGCCAATTAAACAGTATGATAATGAGAAATAAGAATAAAATCAAAAACACCTTCCCTCCACCTCTCCCTCCTTCCCAGGCTCAGCTTCACTCCCAACTCTTTTACTTCTTCACCACTGAGCAGCAATTCTTTTATACAGCATTTTGGTCTGGATACAAATAGAAATGGAGAATGGAGAATAAGGGTTGGAGTCAGTTCATAGTGCTTTGTCTCTGTCATTCCTTTCTCGTGTTGTCTTCCCTTGCTCCCAGTATTTTGGGCAGAGACAAGCAGCTTCTGTGTTTGCTGTGGGGTATGTTTGGGCTCAGAAGGAGTCAGTTCTGTATGCTAGTGGCTGGACTGCCTTTGGAATACCATTGCCAGTTCTTCAAGAGCCAGATTACAGCTGTCAGCTATTGCCTGAGCTTTTCAGAGAGCGATTATCATTCTGGGTGAGAGTAATCTGAGAGCAGGTTGTCACACTGTTCCACTGTTCCTCTTATGTGCATGAGCTCACTTGAGCCACTTGGCTATGACTGTGTAGAGGAGACTGGCATGTCCCAGCCAGCTTGTCAGTGGAGTATCAGAGGAATGATGTTTGTTGTTCACAGAGGCTTTTATCCCTTTGCAGTTACCTGGGACTTGGGCTGATGTCAGCAAGGCTTGCCATTTTGGGCGGAGTTGAGGGAAAACCCTGTAAGTTATGGGCAGTCCTCAAGTCTTGTCTCTGAGCGCAGGGTGGTGGTAGGGGGAGGAGTTGTATGACCCCTTCCCACTGGGCTCAAGGTTCCCGAATGGCATGTGAACTCCTGTCACTGTGGCTGGGTGCATTTGAGACAAATGCAGGAGGTGACATTGCTAGATCCCAGGAGACTTGGATTCTTGCCGGCCCTGGGTGGGAGGCGGGCATGGGACATCTAAGCCCTGTCTGGACCGTGGAGGTACCTTGCTGGGGGTGAGGGTTCTGAATTTAACTCTTCATGTTTTTGTTTAATGTGGCTTTGTTTTACTTCTGCAGCAGAAGGGGAGGAGTTGATTAGCCCTTGTTTGCCACCTGGCTTCAAATCTGAATGGCAACATGCTGAGATAGTGTACAAAATTAAAGGACAGAAGGCAGGTATAGTGATTTATCACTCTTCCTATCTAGGCCAGCTGCGATTAGCAGAAGAAGTCAAACTCTCAGCCTCTTGCAAAGATACCAGACTCTGTTTACTCTTCTGTCTGGCTCCTCTTGCCATGCTGTTAAAGAGATCATGCAGCTCTTTCCTGTTGTGCCATGAGGTGTCTGTCCAGTCAGTAAAGCTGTTAGTAGTAATGCAGATGGACTTGAACAATCCTCAAACAGGTCTTTACAAAATTCTTCTGTCTCAAATGATGTTGTCCATCTCTGATCTATCACATACTTAGTCCCAACCTGAGGATGGTAGGTGTTTGCCTCTGGAAGAAGAAGTAGCTCTCTGTGAAGATCTTATGGAGTGCTATTTTGCAAAAAGGAGCCTGTTTCTTGGCAGATATTAAGTAAATTGTATGTGTATATAACTCTGTATATATATATATATATATATATAATATGCTGGGGGGTTTTTTACCTTCTTTTAGGTGAGCCTCTTTATGAGTCTTGTTCTAATAAAGTGGCAAAGATGCTCTACAAAAAGGTGCATAAAGCTGAGGAAGTGAAAGACTTGGATTTTTACACTTTCTCCTACTACTATGACCGTGCAGCAGAGGCTGGTCTCATAGGTATGTCTGCTCCTGGTTTTGTTTCATTTTAAATGACAAGTTATTAAATAAATGGTAACACTTGCAGACATCATGATGCTTTGCTAAGCTGTCATGGAATATAGTCTGTTGTTACACTGCTGTGCAGCACTGAAGCATTGTTCTTGACTGGATATTAATTTCTATAGAGAAGGGACTGGGGCTGTGAAATAGGATCTGCAACGTTTGGTAATAGTTTTTAAACAAACTGTTTCTGTTTCAGAAGAGGTTTTATTGTCTGATTACAATCCAAAATAGAAAAACCTTCATAATGGTAAACAAATGCCTCAGTCAGTAAAGCAGTAAAAATTATTTGGGCTGTGTGTTTTGCTCCACTGACCTTTTTAGATGGAATGAAGATTTGCAGATACTTCCACTTGTATTCAAAATGTGTCACATCTCTTTTCCATGGTATGCTGGTGTACAGAAGGCTGTCATGTTCAGTGGTAGAAAGGAGATTATGACATCTCAAGTTAGTTTGGACAAACCTACCCCCCCTCCTTGGCCAGTTTCTTTTTACAAATAATTTCAGATTTAATGTGTTGCAGAGCACCAGTGCTCTGTCAGATCTGGTCACAGGTGTTAACTGTGTTCAGGCACAACTGGCAGAGCAGCAAAGACATGGGGATCAGGTGAGAGAGTCTGTAAGCTGTTTCTATAGGAAACGAGGCTTAAGGTTCTTCATAAACAAAGACTTTTCAGTCTATAGTCAGAATCTTTTAAAGGTTCTTTTACCTTTAAAACCAGTCTGAATTTTGACATTGATTTCAGTGGCTCAAGATTTGATTTTGAAACAACTTTCATGACTTGAATCTACAGTTGCCTTTATACGAAGACTGTAAAAGACTGGGGTTTTATCTTTTAGATAAAGAAAAAGGAGGAAGCTTAACTGTCAGTGACTTCGAAATTGCAGCTAAATATGGTGAGTAAAATATAATCAAACACTTACTAGTTATTGTGTGTAAATTCATTCCCAGGTGGCAAATGTGTGACATGCTAAGAAACCTGATGTTTTTAAGGAAGTATTAAGTACCTCTACATAGCATCTCACCAACACTTCTGCTTTTTTCTGAAAATCTCAACTATTTTTATATTAACTTTTGCTTTTGCAGCTGACATAAGACACATAACACATATATTTCAAAACTTTTTCAAGAATTACTAGTAAATAATAACTTGATAATTAACAAGTGTTCTGAAATCATGCTTTCAAGATAATTGTGGCTTTATTATCCTGTTAGCATAACATGTTCTAATCTGGTTTAATTTTTCTTGTTGTTCATTTGCTTGGTTGTTAATCAGAAAAGAGGGAAAACCGGTTCATACCTTTTCACTTCATGAGCTGTGGAGAGAACTGCCTACACAGATTTACTAATGTAAACTTTCTTTTCTTAATACCACAAACTCAGGCTTTGATCAAACTGTCATAGGGTTTTTTGGTAAACTTTATGTATGACTGAACAATTACCATTCTGATTTTTGGACTACCATTTGTGTAATTCCTCCTGAGAAAGGCTTTATTTTGATTTTGTCGTTTCTTTTATTTTGTTTTGGGTTTTTTTAATTTGGTTTTGTCAACATTTGGAGTGCTGGTGCTCAAGAAAGATAACTCAACTGAGGTTGGTTATGTATTTGAAGCCTTGAATTAGAAGTTGGAGGCTCTTTTCCTGGAGAGATACAAGAAATTCTGTCTCACTCTTAAGGGAGAGACAGAATGTCTGGATATTCCTTCCAAAGCTTATGTGCTTCTCCTAATGTGTGTGTGTCATTTCAACCCCATTGTGACAGGTTCCATCACTGCACAGCTCAACTGACAAGAGGTGCTTTATGGATTCGAGATTTTTCAAAGCTGGGCTGTTGCTACACCTGAGCCCACAGTGTGCATTCAGACACCGTTTTTTTTCTCCTTAGTTTGTAAGACCATGGAAATCAGCCCTGGAAGCAGCCCTTTTCTCTGCATGGACCTCACGTACATCACCTTCCTCCTGCAAGAGCTGGGCTTCCCGAAGAGCCAGGCCTTTAAGGTGATGCACAAAATGGATTCCTGGGGAAAGTGGGCAGGGGGGTGCCAAGGCAGGAGTCGTCATGCTGGTAGTTCAGTTCTTGATTTGCCTTCCTGCTACAACACATGCTGTGTGATTGTGGATGAAGCGGCACTCTCCCCGCGATGGTATCACCATCTGGTTGTCATAACCTTCAGCACTGTGTTCACCTTGCATGCTTCAGATTTTCCAAAAGAATTGTGTTTTAACTTTTTTGCCTTTTTTTTTTTTCCAGCTTGCCCGGAAAATTAACAATGTTGAAACAAGCTGGGCATTGGGAGCCACTTTCCATTACATCGACTCGCTCAATAGACTGCAGTACTAAAGCTCCTAGAAGGTGACTTTTGGGAACCTCCATTTTTTGGAAGCTCAACATGGAGAACCTGTTGAAGGACATGCTTTTGGCTTCTGGAGTCTTTTGGAAGGTCACCATGAAACAGGTTCCTTTCCTCCCACCACCTGCCAAGTCCTCTCCATCACTAGCTCTTTTTTACAGTGCAGAGTGCGGTGTGTAAAAAATAAGCCTTGATTTGACAGCATCTGGCATCAGCTTGATGTAAACTTGATCATTATGGAAGGAAAACCAGGACTCTGCAGGACATCTATGATCTCTATGAGAAAAACACACCTTTTTGGAATATGCCTGTACTATGAGCTTGCAGTATGCTAAAGTTGCTGTAGGAAACAGTCACTCCACAAGGAACTCTTTACTGTCCTGATTTCAGGGTGTTTTTTCATGTTTGTCAGCAGTTTTCAGTGATGATTTTTATGTTACTACTTGTGTTTGAAGGTGAACTTGCGTGTGTGCAAAAATGGTGCATTTACACAGATGGTGACAGGCAGCAGCTTTGAAATGCAGCGTGGACGTTGCAGCTCTGTTTTCCACTTGCTGAAGGAGGAAAGCTCAGGAGCACTCTAGAAACTGGATATGGACTTGGAGGCATGAGCCTGTATGCCCT